AAAGGCTGTGCCCCTAGACCAGAGCCCAGGGCCAGGCTGTGTCCCCCAGACCTCAGGGCAGGTCCATGTCCCCCAGACCAGACAGACCCCAGAGCAGGGGCAAAGTTTAGTCCAGTGGGGTCTTGACACTCACCCACCCAACCAGGCTCTACTTGGGGGATGGAGGGCAGGTACCTTCAACATTTGGGTGGGGACTGGGATAGGGTCCTTAGTCCTCTGCCTGTTGCCCCTGGTTCCCTGCCCTGCCCTGGGGGGAGGAGGTGGGGGTTGCTCAGAGAGTCCCTGAAGGGAGGAAACCAAGGTTCCAGGATCAAGACAGTAGAGGCCAGAGGAGGGCCTGCCACACCTCTGTGGGACTTCAAAGCTGCTGTTTGGGGAGTGTGAGATTTGCAGGGGTGGGGCCAGAGGGGGCCTGGAGCAGGGTGGGGGGCCAACCACCTCTGGGCCTTTAATATGGTTATTCCTTCCCTGTCTCAACTACCTGTGAACAGTCCCACCAGGTCCATTTCCTCCCTCCAAGGGTGGGCAGCACCCGCTATAAACTCCCTGAAGAAGCAGTTTCAGAGGCCGCCAGGCTGCTGGCTCCGGCCCTTTGAGTGGGGGTTAAGGAGCAGGCTGGGGGCTGGGAGGGGGTTGGGGTTCATGGGGACTTGTAGATCTGGGCAGGTGAGCGGGTAGCCAGCTGGGGTCCACTGGTGGCTCTGTATGAACATCCAACATCAACAAAAGGCAGGAGAAGAGAGGCCCTGGGGAGACACCCCCTCATCCCTTTTCTTCTTGTACTGTAGGGAAACAGACCCAAGAGGGGTGGGGCTTTCTCCAGGACGGCAGACAGTTGAGGGTTTCCTGTCCTTTACTCACACAGGCACTTCCCCAGGCCCTCAGGGCCTGTCCTGTGGCCCCAGGGCCTGGGTGCCCCATCCTGGCCCTTTTCTGGTGAGTTCTGCCTCTGTACCCTGGAGCCATGCTGGAAGGGATGGGGGCATGCATTCTAGGTCAGCACTGTCCTGGTGCCTCGCCTGGTGGACAGCTGAAGCCATCTCCACAGGGGTCCTCCCCAGCCTGAAGCGGGGCCTCAGGGCCCAGCACCTAGAGGCTAAAGTGGGTCCCTGACATACTGTGTCCTCAGGCCAGTGCTACTCCCTCTCTGGACCCTGGCCAGACAGATCCTGATGCTGGGGGTTTGCAGTCCTGTGACTCAGAGATGTGGGGACCAGACAGGCAGGACTGCTCTCTACATTGACCCCCAGGGTGGTCCCATCTTGTCTCCCTTCAGAGGCCAGCCCCACCCATGCCCAGCTGGGCTCTTGGGCCCTTTCATCTGCAGAGCCCCTGGCCCCTGGTTCTCAGCAGGTGCCAATTAGCGTGGCTCCTGCCCAGCCCCTGACTCAGGTGCTACACGTCTATGCTGTCTGCACTGTGACACACCCATGGGTGGCTTGAAGGAGTACCTGTCACACCCACCTGCAGGGCCTGACTCCTGTGCAGAGTGTTGCCCAGGATGGCCTGGTGGGCTGCGAGAACCAAGGTTCCCGTGATGGTGACTGAGCATCTCGTGGTGGGTGAGGGGATGGCCTCCAGTGCTCCAGCCCTCCACCCCAGCACTGAGTCCTGGGTTTCCTGTTTATAGAGCACCAGCCTATGGCCTCTCTGGCCCTGGCTGTCCTCTCAGGACCCCAGTTGAGACTCTCTGGTGGTCAATGCGGCCCCAGAGCAGTAGGTGACCCAGCCTGGGGTAGGCCTGTTGGGGCAGCAGCAGCCCTGAGCCACTGAGGCTGTGGGCTTAGGGCGGGCCGTGGGGGTGCCAGCCCATGAAGGCCAGGGATGGATGCTGGGAGTCCAGAGTTGTGGGTTTGTCCCCTGTCTTCTTGTTCCACTGGGTCCCATCTAGCTCTGTCTTCAGTGGCTTAGAGCCTCTAGCAAGGACCCTGTGGCCATAAGAAATGAGGGGGTGCAGGCAAGTGGGGCCTCTGCCTAGGTCCTGTCTTGACGATCAAGGCCATGTCCTCCTACCATCAGGCTTCCTTTTCCTGTCCTCACTCTGGTGGGCACCCACTCTATCCACCAGGCTTCTCCCCACACAATCCCGCAGCTTTTTTCCAGCACAGGCCATGGTTGGGAGTAGATGTCCCTGGCCCTGTCCTGGGTCTGCACACCCTCATCTAGGACCCCCCCTGCACTCTGCACACCCCCATCCATGACACCCGTGCCCTGCATCCTCACAAACCTTTCCAGGACCCCCTGCTTTGCATCTGTACATACTGTTCTAGGACCCTCTGCCAAGCCAGCAGTTGCTCTCTGTCAGCAGAGGGTGGCCTTTACTTCCTGGGCCTTCAGTGGCCCTGATGTTCCAGTGGCAGGACTGTTGTGCTCATGTGGACTCTGGCCAAGTGTGTGTGTTGGGCATGGAGCTGACCTGGAGCAGGTGTGGGCTCCTAGGTAGGGGCCAGGTTAGAGTCTATGTTCAAGGGCAGTGGTGGGGAGCAGAGGCAGTGGGGGGCTGAAGGACTGAGGACTAAAGGACTGAGAGGGTCAGTGGGAGTACATGTGGCCAGAGCAGAAGCCATCCTACACCAAGATCTGGGGGTGCTGGGGGGCTCCTCTTAGAAAAAGCTGGAGTGGTGGTGAGTGGCATGGGCAGGCTCTGCCTTCCAAAGCCACGCAGACTACTCCTCCCTCCTCACCCCACAAATGGCTGCATTGGGCTCTCTCTGTCCACCCTCAGCTAGCAGGGGGTTCCTTGTGAGGCCTCCGCCCGCCCCCCACCTCCTTCCTTCCAGCAAATGGCCTGTATAGGGCCTGAGCTCTGAGAGTGCTCTGAGCTCTGAGAGTGGGGGTTGGGTCTCTGCCCTCAGCTTCCCCTTTATGGTCCTCACCCTCCACCTGCCCCAGCCTGTCCATGCTTCAGCTTCCTCCCTCTTCAGCTTCCTCCCTCCCTTTTCAGTCTGGTTAGAGACTAGGGCAGGGCTCAAGAGGTGGTGGTGGGGATCTCAGAAAGTCAGAGAGAGGTGCAGGGACCCTGCACCCAGCTAGAAGAAGCAAAGGTGTGACCTTGGGATACCCCACACAGAGGCCATGTCCTCAAACAGAGCCAGCACCAAAATGTCAGCTGAGTGTCATGGACATTTGGGGAAGTGGCTTTCAGGTGACTTGGTGGATGTCCCACGGCTCCACTGACTTTCCTGGGGCCTCCCACCTGCTCACTGCATTGTACTACCCCTGTAGCAGGCAGGGTTCCTCCTCCTCCCTGTACCCTGCCTCCCCCACCCCCAGCCTTCTGCTTAGGTCCAGTTCCCTCCCCCTAGACCTCAGCACCACTGGCCAGGTCCTCCTTTTCTTGGTGTGTCAGTCCCTCCTCCTCCTCTTGGAATTCTGGCCTCTGGAAGCCACCTCTTAGGCCCCAGGAGTCTCTGAGGTGCATACCGACCACCTCCTCCCCTGGCCCATGGGTGTCTCCTGCCCCAGAGGTGACCACCGAGCCAACCTCCATATCCTTCCCAACCCACTACCAGAAATTCAGCACAATCCACAGCGTTTGGTTGTTTCTGCTTTTTGTTTTTTGTCTTTTACTTCCCTATTGTTTGGAACTCACAGCTATGGCTAAAATAATTTCTTTCACAGAAAGAAAAGAAAAAAAAATAACAACACATCTGTTTGTCTAGCTCCAGTGTATGGTAGATATAGCAGCATCGGAAATAAAATTGAAACCAAAAACACAAAATTCAAGGCAGGGGAAGGTCTTGTCCTCGGAGGCATGCAGGTCATCCCTGTCCAGCTGGTCTCCTCCCCCAGCCTGGATGGTGGGCCCTTGGGGACTAGGGGACATTTCACAGTGGCAGAGTCTGAGTGAGGAGAGGCCTGGCGTGGGCATTGGCTGAGGGGTCCAGAGGCCTGTCCTTCCTGGGTTGTGTGGATGAATCAGAAGGTGAGGGGAGCTGAGTGGCCAGCCAGGTGCTCTGGGACAGTGGCCTGTGTGGCAAATCTGGCACACTGTTGCTGCATCAGGAGGACCCGGGGATCAGCCCAAACCACCAGGGGTGGGAGAGGAGACCAACCCCTAGGGGTTGTGGGTCCTCTGTGGCAGCACAGGTGTGGCTGTTCCTACCAAAACATTCCAAACAACCCCACCCCACCCCAAATGAGCCTCCAAGGCAGGATGATGGGGCTGGGCTGGTGCAGTCCAGCAGGCTGGGTGGACTTGGGGTTCGGGCTGTGGATGAGGAAGGTGAGGGAGGTGCTGAGGACAAGAGGAAGGCCGGGCAGTGCTGGGATAGCAGGCTGCACTCCTCTGCTGTAGACAGGAGGGGGTGTTGGTGAGAGACCCCAGAGGAAGGGAGGGCCCCACAGTGGGGTGTTCTGTCAGCTGAAAAGCAGAGGCAACAGCTGACCAGGCCAACAGTAGGCCTGGTGGGGGCGTGGGCGACAGTAGGAACAGTCACTGGGAAGAGCCCCTGGGTGTCTGATGTCCCACTCATGGCAGCCAGGGCAGAGCCAGGTTTCAGGGCCCAGCCTCCTGCTTGCCTCCGCCTCCAGAACCCCTCTTTTTCCCAGGCCAAGCTGGTTCTTGGGGATCTGCAAGACGAGGGCTCTCTCCGTAGGATTCTTGGCCAGGGGCGCTGGTAGAGGCAAGGCTGAGGAAGGCGTGCCACAGTCCTCCCAGTGCCAGAACCTTTCCAGAGCGCCAGACTTGGACGGCCCTGGTCCCCAGACTTCGGAGGAAGAAGTGGGGGACGGGAGTCTCGGCCGCTGGTCCACCAGGAGAGCTGCTCTACACAGAGAAGGTGGAGTGAATGGAATCTTACAGGCGGGCTGCATTGGAGATGGTGGAGGGGCTAAATCCCCTGCTTGGGAGCCCCGCCCGTACAGAGGACTGCTCCATCCTAAAGCCTCTCCCCCAGAGCCCCGCCCCATCCTGGGAGGATCCCCGGGTAGATCCCCCGCCACCACTCTGCAGGCTCCTCCCTGCTCTACCCTGGAGGACCACACCGAGCCAGGCGCGCAGCTACTTGCAGGTGTGCACGTCGTAGACGCGCGCGCACTCCTGGCAGCTAACGTAGCAGCACCAGTGGAAGACGCAGAGGCACTTCTCCAGGCGCTGCTCAGCGCGCGCGTTGTGCCCGCGGCCACAGCATAGCAGGTCGCAGCCGTCGATGCCTGGTGAGCTCACGTTGCAGGTGCGGTCTCGTGTGCCGAAGGAGCCAGTCTCGGGATTGGGCTCGCAGAAGTTGGGCGATGCCTCGTAGTAGACCAGGTCACGCTCCGTAGGCACCTTGAAGTAGGTGTAGCGAGGCCGCAGCGTCTCCACCCAGCCGCGCGACTCACGGTGTTTCTCCACCACCATCTCCGAGGCGCTGTCGTATTTGTCCTTGAGGAAGTCGCCGATGGCACGGAAGTCGGGCTGCGACCACCAGCAGGTCTTTACCTCGCAGCTCCCCGACAGCCCGTGGCACTTGCACTTGAGATGCATGTGACTGGCGATGGCCTGCGGACGCGCGGGCGGGGGCGTCAGGGCAGTGCACACCCGGTGCGTCTGCGCGGGATGATCTCCCAGGACCCGGCTCCTGAACTGCCGCCCCCGCCCCCAGGTGCACCAGGCAAACCCAGCCCATCTACTTGCTCCATAAAGCACCTGGGGCTCCCAGGCAGAGCAGGTGCCTTTTCCATGGGCCCGAAGTGCCAGTCCCCTCCATGCGCCTCTCCTGGCCAATCCGAATCCCCAGGAGGGGGGCAGGGCCTGGAGCCTCCCTGCTCTACGGTCCAATTCTTTAGCATCTATGACAGAGTGAAGGCAGCCAGGTTGTAACGTTCTGATGTCAGTGCAGGCTGGAAGGAGGAAGGCCTACAGGTTACTTCTGACCTGTAGAACCCAAGACCACGGCCCACAGGTATATGTGGGCTGATAGAAAGGCTGGGGGCTACCTGAGCGTGGGTGATGGGATGGCTTGCCTTGGGTAACTTCAGGCCCCAGGATGCTGAGTTCTTGGACTGTATGGGAGTGGGAAGAGGAGGAGTGAGGCAATGCAGGGGACAAAGCTGTGGGGACCTTTGGGGCCTGAGTGTGGACAGAGGGTAGGACCTGGCTGAGGGGTGTGTGTTTCTTTCTCCCTGTGAGAAGCAAAGAGACCTCTTCCCTTCTCTCTTAGGGGGAAGGCGTGGGGGTGGGTGACCTAATCAGACCTAAAGTTGCCTTGTCCACTATGGTGGGCACCACCACCAGGAGCCCCTGAGATGTGGCTGGTCCACATTGAGAAGCTCTGTGAGTGCAGACCACACACAGGGTTGCTGTAAGTCCCCAGACTTCATACATGAAGAGGGTGTAAAATATCTTATACATGATTTTAACATTGATTGCATTATTGAAATGACATGTTGGGTACAGTGGGCTAAATAAAATTTAGTATTAAATGAATGTCAGCTGTTTTCTTTTAAAATGTGGCTAATAGAAAATTTATTACACATATGTGGTTTCCAGTGCATTCCTTTTGGATGGTGCTGGGCTAAGGCTTCAGGTGGGCTCTGCATCCAAACCTTTGTCCCACTCACTCCACCCCCTCACCCTGCTGTTTCAACTCTTCCCTCTCATACTGGCCCTTTCCTGCAGGGTGTCTATTAGTTGCCCCCCACACCAGTCCATTTCTGTCTAATCTCTGTCCTCTTCTCTTTTCTAGCCAAGAATTTCCAAACAGGGGCAGCTGCTTCCCATCTCTGCCTCCTTGGTCTCTTGTTTTACTTTGACTTTATCAAAGATATATATGTATCTACTTTAAATAGCCCAATATTTCCTAGCATCTGTTAAGAACAACAGGAGTTCTGTGCCCGCTCTCACACTGCACTTTCCTGACACCTCCCACACCCCCACTGCAGTGCCTTGTGCCTCTCACAAACCTGGAGTTCGGCATTGTCTCTGGACCTCTCACCACCCCATCACACTGATGCACATGCCCAACCTCTCCTAGCTAGCTAGATATTTAGTGCTGATGGGATTGGGACTATTAAATGTCATCTCAGTGGAGCCATGTAAATGTTATGATTACTTTTCCTTTCCTACAAGATGTTTTGTTGTTGGTTTTTAAGAATATATATGAAGGATTCAGTCTCAACCTCTCCCTTAATTGTCTAAATATCTTCTTCAAGACATTCGAACACCAGGTGTCTTTTTGCAAACACCAGATTTCATTTTGGAGACATCTTTTTGAGAAGTCTTCTGGTAAATTTTATGAAATGTGCATGTCTGGAAACAAATCTTTGTTACTTTGCTACTTTTGCTATACTTGAAAAAAAATGGTTTAGCTGGACATAAAATTCTTGGCTAAAAAACTTCTCCCCACAGAATTCTGAAACATTGCTCCATTTTGTTCCAACATTCATATTGTTCTCAGAAAGTCTGATGCCATTTTGACTTCTGATACGTGAGCCTCACCTTCTCCCACACACCCTGGAGGCTGTGTCTGTGCCATCAGCTAGTGTGTCACTCCCTTTCTTGTGCCAGTCACTTCCTGGGCCTGTGTGGTCTGCAACATGTGATCTCTGGTTCTGAATCTTCCTGCCTTGTTTCTGTGCCAATTTCCTCCTCTTCGTGTTCACCACTGTCTCTCTTGGACAGAGCCTCCTTATTTTCTATTCTTTCCTACTTCCCATCTCTTTGTCTTTTTCCTCTGCTCTGTAGAAAAATGTTCCAACTATCTTCCAACCTTTCTGCTGAGAGTTCTGATTCTGCTGTCCTATTTTTAATTTCTAAAAGCTCCTTTTCCCTCTTCCAAATGTTCTCTTAAATTATCATCCTGTTCTACTTTCATGGGTACAGTGAGTCTCTTATTTCTCTGGGGGTAGTGATAGTTTTTGAAATTTTCATCTCTTTACAACATCTCTTTCCCATAAGTTTGGATTTGTTTCTTTGTTTTGGTTTTTACCTTTGTGGTTGCTGCAGGCTTCCTCGGGTGTCTGGTGGTCCTTGGTTGTCTGCTTATATTTAAAAGTGGGGCACTAAAAACCTTGCTGGAAGTTCCTGTGCCCAGGAGCGACTTGCCAACTTGGGCCCTTGCCCTGGAGTGACCTGGCCACATTGTTCCATTGGAGAAGTTAAGTCTCTTTTCCTGAGTTCATCTAATTTCCAAGACAGAACCTTCCATTTTCCTGCCTGGAGGGTGATCAAGCTTCCCTGCTGCATCAGGAGATTAGGAAGAGAAAATTCGTACATAGACAGACTATTTTCACTTGGGTGGCCTCACTCTTAGCTGTACTTGGGGTTCCAACAGTCCAGACACCCCCTGCTTTATCTTTTTTAGAGGTTAAGCCTGCAGATTTCTGGTGAAGGAGAGATGTTGCCTAGGTGCAAGGAATTGGACCAAAGAGCTGATGGGTTAAAATAGACTTTTAAGATAGACTTTCACCCTGGCTGGCGTGGTTTAGTGGATTGAATGTCAGCCTGTGAACCAAAGGGTTGCTGGTTTGATTCACAGTCATGGCACATGCCTGGGTGGCAGGCCAGGTCCCCAGTAGTGGGTATGTGAGGGGCAAGCACACATTGATGTTTCTCTCCCTCTCTTTCTCCCTTCTCCTCTCTCTAAAAATAAATAAATAAAACTTTAAAAAAATAAAATAGACTTTCAACCCACCTTCTTGTTTTCAGCCCCGTATTTATCTCTGCTTCTCAAGACACCTCATGGTAGTAATTCCTGGGTTGTTTCTCAGATTTCTCATCTACTGACTTCAGACTCAGCTTTCTTGAGTCTACTAAGACATTGAGTACTCTTCTATCTGCTTTTTAGCTTTCAGAATTTTGTTGCCATTGTCACTTCTGTCTCTATGTTCTCAAATCTGTTTATTCATGTTAAAATTCATTCACTGTCATTTTTGTGGGTGTCTGGGAGAGTGCAGAGGGAAACACTTGTGAAGTGGAAGTCCCCATTCATTCTTCAGTTTTTACAATTTCTATGTGACCCTTTCCTTGTCGATTACATTACTTTTTATAGTTTCCAATTCCCTGCTAAAAGGTTCAACCTTGCATTTCAGCTTTACAAATATAAGTAAGCATATTTTTTCCTGATAATCTATGTGTAAGCATTCTAGTATTTGGAGTCCTGCTTCTGTTGCTTTTTTCTGATTACCACTCATTTGTTATGTCATCAGCTCATGTGACAGGTTATCTTTGCTTATGTATTGGACATTTTGGTTGAAAAATTATCTGTAGAAACTATTTTAGGCCTAGCTCAAGTTACCAACCTCCAAAGAGGATTTGTGCGCTTTTTCCAGGTGCATGAGTATACCAGCATTTGGTATCACCTTAATTCATTCTAATGTCCTGAGATTTTTTTTAAGCCTGAACATATGTACAAGAGCTGGTTTACTTTTGGTTTACTCCCTAGGGTCCTAAACAGAGCAGTGATTTCCCAGAGACACCACCTTTGGTGGGGCCCTTAGTTCTGGGAGGCCATGGAAGTGCAACTCAGTGTATGTACTTCCTTTCACATCAGCAAACAACCCCTGGACAAAAGCTGCCCTAGGTACTAGGCTCAGAGTCTTGTCTTTTGGATTTGGGCTTATTAATCTCTTACTCTGTAGTTAGTTATTTGACACTTAAAATCATTTTATGGAAGTATAATATACAAAAATGTATATATGTCACAAGCTAAAATATGACAAAATTTCACAAATCACCAGCTTCTCAGAAATTCCCATCATGCTCCCTTCCAGTGGTCCTCCTCCTCCTTTTCAGGGCACTGGCTCTGACAGCATTTAATTAATGGCTAATGATATTGAGCACCTTTCCATATATTTTTTGGCTATTTCTATATTTTTATTTTGTGGAGTAGTTTTCTATTTTTTTAGCCAACTTTTCTATTGGGTTATCTGCCTTTTGAAAAATTAATTTGTAGAGTTCTTTTTATGTTATAGCTTTCATATAGTTTTGGAGATATAATTTCCTCCTGTGGGGGTTGTGTTTTCAGTTTCATCGTGGTATCTTTAATGAATAGACATTCTGAAGTCCACATTATTATATTTTTCTTTGGCTTATTTAATAAATCTTTGCCTACCCTGAAGATGTCTCCTATGTTTTCTTCTAAGCATTTGTTTGTTTGTTTGTTTTACCATTCCCATCTGGGTTTGTAGCTGATTTGATATATGGTGTGAGGTAGGGGCCAAGGTAATTTTTTTCCATATTGTGATTTGATTGATGGAGCACCATTTATTCAAAAGCCCATTTTCTCTGCACCACACTGTCTTCCCTGTGATCAATCAGGATACTGTATACAGGTGAGCATTCTTTATTTTTAACAAGGTACTTTTTATATTCCAGGCTGCATGTGTACTTTTCTTCAGCAGGAATATAAGTCTGGTCCCTGTGGTTGGAAGTTTAATGTCCCTGTTCACTCCTTAGCTCTCTGTAATCCCCTGGTTCCACTGGGCAAAGCCAGTGCCATCTGTATGCTGCTAAATCTTCTGGACACCTCTAGATCCCTACGTGGTCACTTTCTATCAGCAGTCAGTACTCTATCAGCTTCCTACTGACCTTCTGCCCCAGAAGGTCTCAAAACACTCAGAGCTGGTCCCAACTAGCCACTCTGTCCCCCAAATTCTCTTTCCTCCTTCTGCTCTCCATATTCTACCCAAATCAATTCACATGCAGTCTCACCTCTGGGCTGCTCAGAGGCTCTCCTGGCCTCCCCACCTAGATAACTGCCATTATTCTGCATTTCTCCACTCACCACCCTTGGCAGCAGAAGCCTTTTTTGAGACTCCAGCCTGGGTCTGGACCCTCTGCTATGCCCAGTCACCCTGTGTGTGTGCATCTCCTCATTACAGAGCTTCCCACATTGTGCTGTAGCCACCCAGCTGTCACTCTGGCTGTGCAGGAGCTTCTGCAAGGCAGGTCTTTATCCTACCCCTCCTTTCTTGTGACCTGAACTCTGGAGGTGGACCTGCCATTCTGTGGGATTTCCCTAGACACTTGTGGAGCAGCTGGACAGTGCTGTATTTCAGACAGCCCTGGGTGGAAGGTGAGCAGAACCCCAGCCTGGCCACTGCAGACTGCCCTTCCACAGCCTCAAGGAACCAGGGCACACACCCTGCTTAGGAAACTTCTATTTCCTGGAGACCCACAGGGGTGTGCTCAGAGGGCCCCCTGGCACACCCCCAGGGCACAGAGAGCAGTAGCCAGAGGCTCCCCAATACCCCATGACATACAGGAAAGTGGTCTGAAAGTCCCCAATAACCCAGGATGTACAGGGAAGTGGTCAGAGTTCCCCCAACACTCCAGAATACACACAGGGCAGTGGCCAGAGGGCCTCCAACACCTCAGGATCCCCAGGGCAGTCATCAGAGAACCCCAGGTGCACGCCGAGGACACTCAGGGTCATGAACTTACTTGGCGTCCTGCCTCATTGTTGTGGCGGTTCATGGCAGAGCGGGCATCGGGCCTGTTCTCCCGAGCATCTGCAAACTCCCGGGACACCATCCCTCCAAACTCGATGTCCTCGCTGCAGCCGCCCCACTTCCAGCCATGGCCAGGTAAGCCCAGGTGACGGCTGCTGCATCCACAGATGGCAGCGGAGCCTTCAGCACACGAGCGGGTCACAGCAAAGGCCACACCAGCTGCGGCAATGGCGTGCACGAAGGCAGACTCACGGGTGGCTGCAGAGAGAGGCATGCAGTGGCAGGACTCAGCAGCGGAGTAGGGCTTGGGAGCAAGGGGTCCATGTCCCCAGAGGACCCGAGGAGGAGGGAGAGCTTCCTCAATGAAAGTCCACTGAGGGCCAAGGAACTCAAGAAGAGATGCTGCATAGCTCTTATGTGGGGAAAAGCCCAGGGATGGTGTTATCAGAATCAAGGATTACAGAGAATGCTGGCGAGAACCCTGAGCACTGCTGGCTGGAGGAAAACAGGGGTGTCTCTTGGGAAGAGGTTTGGCAGCTTCTAAAAAAATACCCGTACTTGCCTGACCAGTCATCACCTACCAGGTGTCTACCCTGAAGGAAGCCCACATTGACACAAAGTCCAGGAAGCAAATGTCGGCCGCTTTATTTGTAACAGCCCCAACTGGAAGCTCCCAAATGTCTATCAACAGGTGAATGGATAAAAAAATGTGGCATAAGACTTCCAGCCAAGATGGAGGCTTAGGTAGACACACTGTGCCTCCTCGCACAACAGAAAGAAGGACAACAAAAATTTAGAAACAAACAAACAAAAAAAACAACCAGTACTGACAGAAAATTGAACTGTATGGAAGTCCAACAACCAAGGAGTGAAAGTAGACACATTCATCCAGACCACTAGGAGGGGCGGAACCCGGCAGTGGTTAGAGAAGGGTCACAGGAAAAAAAGCGGTGGCTGGTGGACCCTGGGGGGTGAAAAATGGCAGTGGGCAGAACCAGTGAGGTGGCAGATTGTGGAGGGGTGTGGTGCACAAGGCAGCTGGCAGACTGGGCAGTCCCACATTCACATGCAGATAAACCAGGCGAAACTTGGGAGTGAGACTGCACAACCCAGAGCTTCAGCTCAGGGAAATAAAACCTCAAAACACTGATTGAAAATATCTGTGGGGGCTGAGGTGCCGGGAGAGACTCCCAGAGTCACAGAAGAGTTCCTTGGAGAGACCCATGGGGTCCTAGAACGTGCACAAGCCCACCCATATGGGAATCAGTACCAGAAGGACCCAGTTTGCTTGGAGGAAGCAGCAAAAGGGACTGAAATCTAACAAAGAGTGGAGCAAGCACCATTGTTCCCTCTCTGAGCCCTGCCCCACATACAGTGTCACAACCCAGTGACTGTGTATCACACGCCCTGGTGAATACCTAAGGCTCCGCCCCTCACTATGTAACAGGCACATCAAGATAAAATTTAAAAATGGCCCTAATGGAAGAACAGATCAAAGCTCCAGAACAGATACAACTAAGCCACAAGGAGCTAGCCAACCTATCAGATGCACAGTTCAAAGCACTGGTGATCAGGATATTCACGGAATTGGTTGAATTTGGTCGCAAATTAGATGAAAAAATAAAGGCTACGCTAAGTGAAATTAAGGAAACTGAACAGGGAACCAACAGTGATGGGAAGGAAACTGGGTCTCACATCAATGGAGTGGACCAGAAGGAAGAAAGAAACATCCAATCAGAAAAGAATGAAGAAAAAGAATCCAAAAAATGAGGAGAGGCTTAGGAACCTCCAGGACATCTTTAAATGTTCCAACATCTGAATTATAGGGATACCAGAAGGAGAAGAGGAAGAGCAACAAGTGAGAAAGTTATTTGAACAAAGAATAAAGGAGAACTTCCCCAATCTGGCAAAGGAAATAGACTTCCAGGAAGTCCAGGAAGCTCAGAGAGTCCCAAAGAAGTTGGATCCAAGGAGGAACACACCAAGGCACATCATCACTACATTACCCAAGATTAAAATGAAGGAGAGAATCCTAGAAGCAGCAAGAGATAAGGAGACAGTAACCTGCAAAAGAGTTCCCATCAGACTGTCAGCTGATTTCTCAAAAGAGACCTTACAGTCAAGAAGGGGCTGGAAAGAAGTATTCCAAGTCATGAAAGGCAAGGGCCTACATCCAAGATTGCTCTGTTAAGCAAAGCTTCTATTTAGAATGGAAGGGCAGACAAAGTGCTTCCCAGATAAGGTCAAGTTAAAGGAGTTCATCATCACCAAGCCCTTATTATATGAAATGTTAAAGGGACTTATCTAAGAAAAAGAAGATCAAAAGCATGTATAGTAAAATGACAGCAAACTCACAATTATTAACCACCACACCTAAAACAAAAACAAAAGCAAACTAAGCAAACAACTAGAACAGGAACAGAACCACAGAAATGAAGATCACATGGAGGGTTATCAACAGGGGAGTTGGAGGGGGAGAGAAGGAGAAAAAGTACAGAGAATAAGTAGCATAGATGGTAGGTAGAAAATAGACAGGGGGAGGGCAAGAATAGTATGGGAAATGTAGAAGCTAAAGAACTTATATGTATGACCCATGGACATGAACTAAAGGGGGGGAATATGGGTGGGAGAGGGTGTGCAGAGTGGAGGGGAATGAAGGGGGGAAATAGGACAACTGTAATAGCATAATCAATAAAATATATTAAAAATACAAAATAAATAAAAAATACAAAATAATTTTAAAAAACTGCGGCATAAGGTAAGTCCTGAAATGTAACGTACAGGGTGGTGGCTATACTTAATGCTGCTTTATTGTATACCTGGAAGTTTCTGAGAGTAATCTTAAGTGTTATTACACAAAAATTAGCAACTATGTGAAGTGATAGATGTTCCTTTACTTACTGTGGTGATCATTTCACAATATATGAACATATCAAATCATTATATTGTGCACCTGAAACTAATATAATGTGTGCATATGTCAATTATATCTTCATTAAGATTTGTGTCATTTCCATAAAGTGGAATTCTGTTTAGCAGTAATTGGAAAAAGAGCATGATGCTTCTCGAAGTAATCATGCTTAAGGCCACCCTGACACCCATGGGTTCGACACCCCAGGGTGCAGCCCCTTCCCCCACCCCACCTGGACTTTGTGCTTGGAGCTTCCAGCAGCCCGATGACCTGCCCAGAGCTTCTGCCTGTGCTGCTGTTCTGCCTGAACATCTTCCCCTTCTGCAGCCCAGGCTCCAGGCACTGTAAGGACCACAAGCTCCCAGTGCATACCTCACCCTGTGCTGGCTCTACATGCTCGGGCTTGGGGATGCCAAGGGCTACCTGGTGCCTGCCCCAGGACAGCTGGTATTGGAGCTGCCTGGGCCTCACGTGTGGAAGCTGCCTCTTGCTTCCACACATGGGGAAACCGAACCAGAGGAACTGACACTGGTTTGGCAGAAGAGCAGTGGGGGAGGGTTGGAGCTTGGGAAGAAGAATTGGGTGAGGTAACAGGATCAGAGAGAGGTGTGTGCAGGAGTCCAGGGAGTCCCCTCTCTACCTTGTTGGGTAGGGGAAGCCTAGACTGATCTTAGTAGACAGGAGCCTTAAGCAGCTAGTCCTGAAGGACAGGTAGGAAGCAGACAGAGGGAATGCAGGGCACAGGGATATTCTGCTGGGCTGGCAGGAGCAGAGTGAAGCACAGGGCATGTGGGGGGCAGCCTAGCATCCCTCAGCAGAACTTTTACCTCCTGGGTATGTGCTCACATTTAGATGGGCTCTGGGCTCAGAAGGAGGGGATGGGGCTGCCCTGGGTCCCAAGGGGAGCTGATAGAACTCACTTCCTCCTCACTCACCATTCCACATGCTTGCATAGGGAGCACCTGCTGTTTGCCAAGCCCTGCTGGAGAAACAAACAGCAGGGAGCCAGATGGCCTCCCAGAGCTTAGCTTACCTGCGACTAGCAAGACTTTAAAAACCTAGCAAAAAACCTCTCAGGGCCTGGGAGCCCAGCAGGCCCAGACTGAACCTTGGCTTGGCTCTGATGGATGATGTGCCTTAGGTATCTCTGCTGCCTTTATGTGAGGTCCTGCACCCCACCTTTCTTGGCGCTGGCTTCTGTCTCTCCTCAGGCCCTGAGTTGGCAGGAGGGAGAAGGGAGCAGAAGGGATGATGTGAGAAAAGCACTGACCAGGGCACCAGCAAGTGCTCTGTTGTGTCCCCCAAGCTCCTCCTGGGCAGAGGATCCAAGGCAGGCTTAGGCCCTGCTGGGCCCTTTTGGCCATGGGAGAGTCATGGAGGAGGGGTGCTGCTGTCTCTGCATTCCACCTCATTGCCCAGGGGTCTTCTGCTCTAGGAGGGGTATGGGTAGGTGGGCTCCACCCTGGGGAGCAAGCAGAGGTTCTGGGCATCCAGGTAGGCAGCCAAGAGCTAAAGTGCCCCAGGCCCATGCTCACACACACTCAGACTCGCCCACCCAGTTTCATTCACATCCACACACACTTGTCACCAAAAATGCACATTTCCTCAGCTACCCAGAATACACACACTAGGAATGTGTTGGAGGAAGTGCCCTCCCTACTGGCCTCCCATTGGCCCTGTGCCTATGCCGGCTTTTGGTGACTTTCTGTAGAGGTGCCAACACTTTCTGACAGCCCTGTGAAGGCCGTGGGCACCCTTGTCCTCCCTGGGCTCTGAACAGAGCAGGCCTGGACTTTCCCTGCTTTCGGGGAGCTTTGGACCACACACCTCACTGTAAATCCCAGAAGGCCTCCCATTGCCAGTTTGGGGCCACCCTGAACTACAAGCTGCCTCAGGGGCCTGGGCCCATCCTGTCTACCCAGACCTTCCCCAGAAGTCCAGCCCTCAGCATCTTCCTCTAGGACCAGAAGGAGCTCCTGGTGGGGACCCACACCCCAGCCTCTAGCTTCCTCCTTGATCCATATGTGTTCACTGCACACACAGGCACATGGACACAAAGAGATACACACATACAAAACACGGACACATATACCCATAGACACTCTCTCACACACAGGCATACAGACATATAGACACACACAAATGCACACATGTGTGCACACAGACACACACTCATAGACACTCATACACGGACACACAGACTCACATAAATGCGCACATACATACAAAGATACATACAACCATAGACACTGTCTCACATGCAGACACACACAATCACTCTCACATACACTTGGCCATACAGCCACACACACGCGCGTACACACCCACAGACACACTCTCAGACATA